CAGGGCAAAAATACCATCATCCCACCCTCCTGCACCCACTGTGACCCAAGTCTGATCTGTTCCCCGACTCAGATTCTTCGGTTACGCATGTTGCTCCTCAGCCTCGGGACAGTCTCTTCAAGCTGCACATGAACCCTTTTCACTTGGCTCCAGCACCAAGCATGTGAAACCTTTTTGATGACATACCAGGAAAAGCAACACCACTACCAATACCACTGAAGCTTTATTATTCTTCAGGCTCAAAAAGCCTTAGGAATGATGTAAACAGAAGAAAAAGGAAGCATTTTCAAGAAAACATTTAAAATATGAGGACTCCCAATCAATAAGTTGGCTCCGTTTTATTTACATCAGTAGTTTAATAACTAACTGACTTAACAAAAAATTCAAAGTTTGTGAAAGCACACCATTTTTCGATCCCTAATGGGAAGCTCTACTTCACTATGGTTGTGGTGTTACAGCTAAACAGCAAAAAAACCCAAGTCTAATAAGCAGATCCACGTTGTATCTTGCCTGGAGCTCTAACCCTCCCTCTGTTTCAAAGACAACAAACTGCTCTTTTAAGAGATCCTCTCTGAACTCACCACGAGCCCTCTAGTTTGCCTTGCTCATGGCAGGAGGGGCTAGCCTCTCTGACTTACCAAGAAGAAAGCCAAGAACAGAATTTGCACTGACTCGCTTCTTTTAGCATCAGCCTTATTCTGTAGAAAGACAATAGAAACGCAGAAAAGAAAATGAAAAGACTCACCACTTGCCCTGTATGGGGATTCTTATGAGCATAGGGTGGACCTCTAATGTGGTTCCACATCTGGCCTGATGTCATTGCTAACACAAAACACTGAAAAGGAAAAAAGAAACACTATTTAATAAGGATTTTTAAAAAAATTTTACCCCATTTCTTTTCATTTCTTAGCAAAATGTACTGGTTTGGAATACAGTCTTAGGCTAAGCATTGTCCTACCTTCTATTTGTCTAAAAGGCATCTAATCAACATTAACTGAGCTAAAAAGAGAGAGACCAAATAATATTATCAAACTACCAAAAAGTAAAACTAAATGCACCCCATTTTCCTCTACCAGGTTTAAGCATCTTTAAATACAAAAGATTTAGAGACCTGAATTGCTACGAAATTCATGCCAACAGCCAGGCAAGAGTTAGAATTACTCACCAATGCAGCAAAGGCCCAGCCAGTTTTGTTGTACAGAAAATCCAGGTTGCTTCCACGCAAGTACACGAGGCCTCCAATGACAGCCAGCAGCAGTCCTAACATCAACGGTCCAGCGTAGTTTGGTGGCCTTATCACACGGATCTAAGCAGTAAACAGTTGAATTATTTTCCCCTCAACAGGATTATATATTATACCTGCACTCCTAACAACCCCTGCAATACATTAGAGTGGGGAAAAAATACCAACACGCACACAGTTTTTCTGTGTAATAAATCTGACTGGGGAAGGAAGCAATGATTCTTCCCTCTCGCTGTAACTTTAGTTTTATACACCTTTACCATACCTAAAATTTTTAAAGACTCTTTCTTTCACAGGAGCGGAAGAGGGAGAAGGAAGATAAATTTTATCCTCTTATGAAATACAGAATTCTATAAAATATTAGAATACAGAGTGTAAGGAAACTTAAAGATGTAGTCACATGCCCAAACGACATAGAGTATCTGAGAGTAGATCATTAGCCACAGAACACAGCTGACACCTTCCATAGCTGCAATTAGCTAATTACAGCCCTGCAGAGGTGGTGACAGGGCAAGACTGCGCACACTTACACTGACATCAGTCCTGTCGGCCACCCATCGAGCAAGCTGTTCAGCTGCAAAGCCTCGCACCTGCAGTTCGTAGGTGTCACCCCGTTTCGGCTTCCCTTTAGCAGGAAAGTTAATGAAGGTTGGAGCAGAATTCATGTTTAGCTGCGTTTAGAAAATTCAAAGAAGATACGGCACCATGAAAGGTCTAGTTAGCAACATAATCCTATTCCACTTGCATCTGGCAACATCATCACTAAATCAGAGAAAGCAACTACTCAATAAATAAGATTTCACTGACAGTGACTTAAGACAGCATTTGTGTTTCAGGAAAGTAACCACTACATGCCTGCAATGTCCCTTTTGTGTTCCACGCGGTTTTCTCCTTTTAGTATCAAGAGACAAATTCTTTAGCCCTCTCACTGGCTGTTCTGGATGTCTTAGAACAAAACTCTTTACTTCTGAGTAGGCTTTTTTCTTAACCCATGACTGAACACGTTTTCTAAGGTGACTGACATTTCTTTGTTAGCACTCAGATCTACAGCTACCGATTCAACAGATTCCAACCAGTTAAGAGGAGATTATAATAGGAAAATAAAAGGAATTGCTTGCAAAATGCAGTTCTACCTTTTCCTAACACTGTTTTCCCATAGCATTTCAAGGTTTTTTCAATAACAAGAATAACAAAGAAGAGATCCTTTTCCACTTTTCCAGCCCAAGCCCTTCCATTTAATAAAGTATCACTGCATAAATTGTGTAGCTTTTAAAAAAAGAGATGAGTATGCCTTAAAAAAACAGTTAAGATTTGCAAAACTGTAATGAGCTCTTAATGTGATCAACACTGCAATGGTCTCATACAGTTAGAAAAAAATGGGGTTACATAATGTTAATAGAAGAGCAAAGGGACTGGGTACTTGAAAAGAAACAAGTTAATCAATACTGAAAGCTTCATTTATCATTCTCTAGTAATCTAAAAATTTTCACAGCTGTTCCTAATGACATCGGTGCTTTCTATCTTCCTGCCTTCTGTACCACAGAGGAATTGCCTTAAAAATCATCCTCTAAGTTATTATAGGAGACAAACTCAGGCAAAACCAGTCAGAGAGGCCAGTGCACTCCTTGTGCCTATTCCAGGTTTGTCAGGTCTGTTACTGTAACTGCCCATATGCTACTGCCCTCTACTCTTCTTGTTTCTTCTGAGAGCAGCAACTTTTAACTTCTCCATTATTTCTTTAATCACTGTAACAAGAAATTCTGCATACTTCTTTCCCTTCTTGCCCTCACCCCCCAAAACCCAAGTTAAAAATAACGTTAGAAGACAGCCATTACCATCTGGAACACATCTGAGCCTTCATCAAAATCTACCATAGCAAAAAAGATCTTGTTGGTAAATGCGCTGGAATATCTCCAGGAGTTTGCCAGAATCTGGTACTCCTCATCAGCTTGCCTGTAAAACACCAAGTGAGATGCTGTATCATATGTTTCTCCAGAACAGCTGAGGCCGCCGTAGCCACCCACCCCATTAACGGGTGCATCCCACACACACCTCTGTTAATTTTCCAAAGAGAAGGTTCCAGGCCAGACACTCCTCTAACAATCAAGGCAAGCATTTGGCACTGCTGGATTTTTTAAGGCATGAGCAAGTTTTGCTGAGCCCATGAAGACAAGCAGTGGCACTTTCTAATGGAAATTGGAAACAGAACCCAGCGGCTTACAATTTGCTAGTCCTCAGAACACCAAGACAAGTACAGGTGTGCTCTCTTTTCCTTGTAAGAGGAGAGGCAAGCAACTAATTTCAACTAACCAGGTATAAAGTTCTTGTTTACAGATCTCTGCCACCTCTGGTTTAATACATGAAAGCCATAATATGGCTTAAATTTAATTTCCTACAAAGCATATGATGACTTTCAAGTTCTAATTTAGGACAAAACTGAGCCCATACTTGCACACAACACACTGTCGGTGAGGCTGAAGGGCAGTGAACATCACGATCACCGAATAATTTCTGGGCGGAGCCTTCACAAGGCGTCGAAATTTGTCTCCGTTCATTCGAATAACTGATCTTTTACTAGCCCACTCCATCAGCTGGTTCACTTTTTCTGACAACACCATCTGAAAATAAAGTCAGAGAAACACTGTTGGGTATTGGGTTTTCCTAGTCTCACAGTAGAATCTGGAAGGTTTTTAGATTTGACATAACAAACGTCTTTTCTACTCCTTATTAACTGCCTTCTGCAGATGAATGCTTCAGGGTAAATAACAAACTACTCTCTGACTGACAACGGACACCAAGTACATGCAGAGGGCTCTTTTCAAACACCGTGTGAAGATACATGACACCTTTGTGATTACAGCCCTAGACAGTCAGTCTGCCCACTCTCCCCCTCCAAACCCCATACGGGAGGAAAACAGCCCTCTTACAGCATTTTTTATAGGAACAGAAGAACTTGGAATTAAACGCACTGGAAAATACAATTACAGTTAGAACCGTGTGATTCTAAAAACACAAGTGCTCCCCTGGCCCTAGGCGTGCTCATGGGCTTGCGCTCAGGGCCTAGCTGGTACTACCGAGCCTCAGGCCGGGGAGGCCGGTGGGCTACCCAGGGTGAGGCCAAGTCGCCCAGCCCGCGGCCTGCCAGGCCCCACCT